TTTCACCCCATTGGCTCTGATTCTTTATTTATTTCCTTACTACTGTTTATGGTAGAATTAGAAGTTTGATGGTTAGGTTACAGTAGGTAACAGTACCTCCTCTCCCTCTCCACATAAAAAAAGAGAAAATGTACGGTTATGGTGGGTGGGTAAAGTGCCTTTCTTCCCTCCGCAAGTACAGAGAAAAAGCCAGATTGACGGTCTCATGGTTACATCTTAATAGTTTATTTATTTATTCTGTTTGTAATCTCCATCCTCTGCACTTCCACTCCTTCGTTTCCATCTGAAAATACACTTTTGGTTTTCTACAAGGTCATTTTTATTCCCTTTTACACTCTCATTTCTCTCTGATCAACGACCACCATTTTCCTCGTTTCAAAGTCTTGTCTCTACCACCTCAGCTTAATTGGTATACATATATGTAAAAAGTGCCTTCCCCATCTCATACATCTGTATAATTTCCAATAGGCGAAACAGCTTTTGGAGTGATATTTCTCTAGAGTCCCAAGTCTAAATTAATACTTATATAATCTTCTTTTATTTTAAATACATCTTATATATAAACTTAAAATTTTTTTTATAAAATAGAATAAAATAAAACACATCAGTCACTTAAGCGAGTTTTGTTACTACTATCCTTTCAGTAGTGACGACTAGTATTACAGATCCACGAAATTTCATTTGTTAATACATTTTAAGGTTTGATAGAAACTACTGAAATCAAAAAGGTAATTTATTCTAACCTTTTGTTGAGAGTAAGGTAGTTACAATTCACCGTTAGAACTCTGTAGTTGCAGTTTGTGGTCTATCTACAACATTACCTTCATATATAAATGGGTCATATACGTATGATATGGTTGTACGTTTCTCTGTAAATTTGACACGAATTTTTCGAAAAATAATGTAGCTAGTTTTAGTGAATATTATCTAGTGTGTTTTATTTTACCTTAGTTATTTTACCTTAGTATTTAATATTTTACTAAACAAAGTAATAAAATCTTTTTCTTTATTTGAAATGAAAATTACCTTTCTCGTAATAACTGTTAGCTTAGGTACAGTTGCTTCAGCGTATGCATAGAGAAGTTTTGCCCCGTGTCTAATTATGCCATTGTATTCTTGATTGGTACCTGGAAGGAACCCTGGAACATCTACGAATGTAATAAGTGGAATATTGAAAGCATCACAGAATCTCACAAATCGCGCTGCTTTAGTGGAGGCGTTGATATCCAAACAACCTGAATACATAAAGTAATGTATAATATATTGACATGTGATGTAGTCTATGTTTTTATAGAATACGTAATAATTTTTCGATTTAACTCCTTAAGGCAATCATACTGAATAAACGTAATAGTTTTGCAAAATTACGTCTCTCGTCTTTTCGTGAGAACTGATATTCAAAGAAATAGGAGCCAATAATTCATCTAGCCAAAACTGCATCTCTTAAGGGTGTGAAAGGACCTTGAGGATTTTATCTGCAATTCTTGTTGATGACGTGCCGGTTTAAATGAAAACGTGCTTCATTGGAAAACAAAATATTGTCAGGATCTACTATGGTTTTCTATACCGTTTAGATCCAACACAGTGGTAAATTCAAATCCAATTTCAAAATACGTCACAAAATGGTTATTGACATTCAAAATTCATTAAATCTCGTAGGATTGAAGCCGAACTTGTTGTACGGTTTCCTTACTTTAATCAGCAGGTCATCGGATAGTTTTCCGTCGTCTTTTCGAAGTTTCTAATCAGACGGGTTTGCCTGAAACGTTTGAGAAGAAACATGGTGTCCTAATGGATCAAAAATTAATTGGCCTATTAAATTATCGAGCTAAATATCTAGTTAAGAGAAGTACCAATTCAAAAATAACCTTTGTAATAGTGATTTGACTTTCACTATGAGTTCCTTTGAAGATCGATAGATCATAGAAACCCCTATTTTTGAACCAGAATTAGAAAAGAGCATAAAATTTTACATTCGGATGGGTGTTTGAGTTACTTTACTTGGTACGTTCAGAGATTATTTCAATGACAAAACTCTAAAGGATATTAAATAATTAGCCAAAAACTTTCAATGGAGACCTGAATTTAATGGCAGGACGACCCAAAGTATCAGTGTTGTTCTCCATAAAAATTTATTCTTTCCTGATTATCCAATGTTATTTAATATTTTATCGTTAAAATAGCCTCTAAATAAACAATTATACACGCCTTTTAAATTCGGGACCAACAATTAATATTTAGGAGGTTCTATTTAAAAAATTCGATTTCAATTTCAACTAATCTTGAAGGTTACGGTCAATGTAATGTCAACGGAAGCGACCTGTGCATTGTTCAATAGAAATGACTCCAAGTACCTAATCACTAAAGTGCAAACGGCAGATCGGAGCCTCATTCAGGTTTAAGCTCCGCTCTCATATGCTTCTTGGCATCTGTTCTATCTAATATGCATGATTGCTGCTGGAACGTATGTTCAGCCCATGATAAGTCTTCCACGAAAGAAATGCAATAAACGGTTGATGAAAAAATTGATTTGCTTTCATGGAGTTAATGTGGAGAAAATTAAATGGTAATTCTAAGTTACGTACTAAAAAGCTAAACAAATTTTATGGCTAAATCTAGGAAACAAGTATGGCCAGAAAATAAGACAATGTAGATCGAGAAGAAACAGAACCGGCGATATTAATTGATTATCTAAAATGGATCTACATTGAATTGGGCAAGATAAAGGAATGAGGTGAAGCAAGCATACGAATCAGAATACATGATAAAGTTCAATTTCTTAATGGTACCTACATAAATTTGAGTTTCTTTCAATAGAATAAAAAAAAAGATAAAACCTGTTACCTGTAGAATAATAAAGCTAACAAATTTCCTGGTGAAGTCAGCTCTTTAATTAAAATCCCAAAATTACTTACGAATAAGTGGGCATAGTAAGAAAATGAGTGAGTGCGTGCGTGCGTGTATGTGTATGGGTGCGTTCATGCGTGAATCCAAACAGACACATGCATACATGCACACAAATACATACGCACGTACGCATATACACACATACACAGTAAACTGTTTTATTCGCGTTGGAGGTAAATATAAAATAAATACAATTACGACTTCATATCTTCGTTTTTTAGAAAATGTTTAAATACCAGCTGCAACTTTAGGTTGGTTTCCAACTATGCCAACAGTTTTTCCATTCATTCGTCCAAATCCAATTATTATATTTTTCGCATATTGTGGCATTATTTCGAAAAAATCCCTTTCATCCACGATGCCATACACCACATCCAGCATGTCATAAGGTAAGTTTGAATTCGATGGTATTATTGTCTCCAAAACTTTAGAGTTGTCACTTTAAATAGTTTAATGTGTTTTTATGTATTATCATCGATTACTTTTATAATGCTTACCAGGAATCTTCACAAACTCGTATCGGTGCAGATTCGTTATTTGATTGTGGTAAAAAACTCATAAAATTTCTTGACTGTAAAAGAGCTTCTACATCATTTGCGTAAGAGTTGTGAGCGACACCTGAAACTGTGGTATGCGTTTTCGCTCCTCCTAGTTCCTCTTGAGTTACCACTTCATTCGTTACAGACTAAAATTGTTCCCGTTATGATAAGTAGGAATCATTTTTAATAAGCAAGGTAAAGATACAATGAAAAGATACAAAGCTACATTTTATGTCGATGTGTTAATTTTACCTTCTGTTCACAATATGCACCTGTTATTTGCTTTGTATCATCTATACATATACTAGATATTACTGACTGATAAACCTACATTAAGGAAGCCTTAGAACAGAAAGATGGTACCTCGGTGTCGGTTTAACGAAATAAAAGCTGTTTACCCCTACCTTGTTATTTTATTTCAAACGTCTACATATATCAAAAGTTATAAGATTCATGCTCTTTTGAAATTAACACATTTTTTGATTATACGTAGGTACATTATAAATTAAAAAAAAAGTTTAAGTGTTTATTGATAAATTTTATTCGATTATGGTAACGCGCCTATCACGTTGAGGTTAGCTACGCCGGGATTCGTTTCAGCAAGTAGATATCCATACATTTAAATGGACCTTGTTGGAGCATACGTAATCCTAAAATGTAGCATCGTACTACAGATGGCGTTTACCGCGCCATTTGTGGTATTTTCTAAAACGCGCTGTTAAGACAGCAGGTAAAAGTTGGTCTGTGTTCTGTCGGAGCTGTCTGCGACGCGCTGATGAGATCCAAAAAGATCGAAATCGCGATCCGCGTCTGGCAGTTTCGACAGAATACAGACCACTTCGAATTATTTTATTCGATTATGGTAACGTGCCTATCACGTTGAGGTTAGCTACGCCGGGATTCGTTTCAGCAAGTAGATATCCATACAAATGGACCTTGTTGGAGCATACGTAATCCTAAAATGTAGCATCGTACTACAGATGGCGTTTACCGCGCCATTTGTGGTATTTTCTAATGTTATTTGTATATTATTATACGGGATGGCCATACTTAGAGTGCATATTGAGTGGGTTATCCAAAGCGGTAAGAGATACAGTGTGGGTTAAATTACAGAGAAGCCGTGTTTTTTATGCTTTTCAAGAATCTGAAAAAAACTAAGTGAACTTCAATCGTTCTCGAGATATTCCAAAAACTGAAATTTACCATTTTGTTCTTTTTTAAAAATTTTTTATTTATTTGAAGAAATATAAAACTTACCACATTTACATTATTGGCAATGGACTTTCTAATGAAATTATCAGAAATTTTCCAGGTTGATTCAAAGTTCACTTTTAATTTTCTTATGGACCCCATGTTGGATTTTTATGTCAGTAAATGTAGCAAAAAGAAACGATTTCATTGATGTATCACACATTGAATTTAAAAGTTCAGTGCTGTTATTAAAACATCATTTTTGTATTTATTCGTTAATATCAAGTCGCCATGCTTAATGCCGAATTAATTGGCATAAAAAATAAACAATAAAGCTGTACCATAATGTGTCATTACCTACCTCGTATTAATTATTTGTTTTCATAATTTCGTTTATTGATTGCAATTAAAATTTTAGACTTTTTAGATTCTTGCTTTCTTTTATTTCATGGCCAACTTAATGTATCAATTTTATTATTGGCATTCGGCATTTTGTAAACATGACAACTTGATATTAACGAATAAATACAAAAAGGAGGGAGAAAGGAGGGAGATAAAAGTTCAATCTATGATACATTAATAAAATCATAATTTTTTGCTCTATTTATTGGAAAAGATGCGTATCAAACAAAAAAAGTTAATTAATTTGTTTTTCAATATGTATACATGTACAGTACTACCTCGATCATATTCGGATTATANGTGCGTGCGTGCGTGTATGTGTATGGGTGCGTTCATGCGTGAATCCAAACAGACACATGCATACATGCACACAAATACATACGCACGTACGCATATACACACATACACAGTAAACTGTTTTATTCGCGTTGGAGGTAAATATAAAATAAATACAATTACGACTTCATATCTTCGTTTTTTAGAAAATGTTTAAATACCAGCTGCAACTTTAGGTTGGTTTCCAACTATGCCAACAGTTTTTCCATTCATTCGTCCAAATCCAATTATTATATTTTTCGCATATTGTGGCATTATTTCGAAAAAATCCCTTTCATCCACGATGCCATACACCACATCCAGCATGTCATAAGGTAAGTTTGAATTCGATGGTATTATTGTCTCCAAAACTTTAGAGTTGTCACTTTAAATAGTTTAATGTGTTTTTATGTATTATCATCGATTACTTTTATAATGCTTACCAGGAATCTTCACAAACTCGTATCGGTGCAGATTCGTTATTTGATTGTGGTAAAAAACTCATAAAATTTCTTGACTGTAAAAGAGCTTCTACATCATTTGCGTAAGAGTTGTGAGCGACACCTGAAACTGTGGTATGCGTTTTCGCTCCTCCTAGTTCCTCTTGAGTTACCACTTCATTCGTTACAGACTAAAATTGTTCCCGTTATGATAAGTAGGAATCATTTTTAATAAGCAAGGTAAAGATACAATGAAAAGATACAAAGCTACATTTTATGTCGATGTGTTAATTTTACCTTCTGTTCACAATATGCACCTGTTATTTGCTTTGTATCATCTATACATATACTAGATATTACTGACTGATAAACCTACATTAAGGAAGCCTTAGAACAGAAAGATGGTACCTCGGTGTCGGTTTAACGAAATAAAAGCTGTTTACCCCTACCTTGTTATTTTATTTCAAACGTCTACATATATCAAAAGTTATAAGATTCATGCTCTTTTGAAATTAACACATTTTTTGATTATACGTAGGTACATTATAAATTAAAAAAAAAGTTTAAGTGTTTATTGATAAATTTTATTCGATTATGGTAACGCGCCTATCACGTTGAGGTTAGCTACGCCGGGATTCGTTTCAGCAAGTAGATATCCATATATTTAAATGGACCTTGTTG